GAGCTAAAATAATAATTTATAATACTCTATTACCTCATTTTAATTATTGTGCCACTATATTGTATTTGCTCAACCAGAATGAGTTGCAAGGATTGCAAAAGTTGCAGAATAGAGGTATGAAGATAATACTGAGTTGTTCAAGATTGGAACCAATCAATTCCATGTTAAATGTGCTTCAGTGGTTGCCTGTTAAAAAATATTTGCTGTCCTATTTATATTTACGATTAAATCAGGAATCTCCCCAATATATTTACAAAATATTTTAAGTTATAATCAGGATCTTCATGAACACAATACACGAAATAAGAAAAATTTTAGAGTTTATAAGGCCACGAAAAAATGTACACAAAATTCAGTGTCTTCTAAATGTTCTTTTTTAAATGTTCTTCAAACGCAGCAATATTTAAAAGAAAACTTAGTGAGTACTTGCTGACCAATTGATGTTTTTTTCTTGTTATTTTATTATGTTTTGTATAGTTGACATGTAAGTGTATTATATATTTATGTATTTTTATTGTATTTTAAATGAAAGTTGATTCTATACTTATGTATTTTTTATTTTATTTTAAATGTGAAGATGTATTGACATGTAAAAAATAGTTTTTTTTAATAAATAAACGATTTATATATTCTTCCCCTCGCCTTTTTTAGTCCCTTCACTACTTTATTACTTTAATTTTTTAATATCTCACAAGCCATGCTTTATAACAAAACATGTAATTTTATAAAACCTACCCCTTTTTCTCTGCCCCTGTATCTGTAACGTGTGGAGGGTGGGTTATCCCACGGCACTTAGGCCTCATTAGGCCCATTGTGCATCCTCCTGAGATGATAGGTACCTCCTAGCTCGTGAGCCAGCCTACAGATTTAATGTAGTTGACAACGTCGTCAAGAGGTGCTTCTCTTATATTGGCCGGTGTTAGCCGATACTCGCCGAACACAAATCTTCTAATAAATGAGAGCGTCGAGCAATCGTAAAGGATATGCTCGATGGTCTCATCTTCTTGTTCGCACCCTCTGCTGAGTGCGGATTCTGACAGCATGAATGGAGATGCATTCGTACTTGGCAATGACCAGTCAGAATGTCTGTGATAGGTGCAGATTCTGTGTAGTCATAGTCAAGTATTTGTTTGATGCAGTGTTGTTAGGATAACTTAAGAGCTCCCTGATAACTCTGCAGTTTTTTGTTTTATCCCATCTTTCCTTGAATTTCACAAAGGAATGTTCTTTGATTAGGTCTGTCACTACCGATTTTGTCAGGCCAATAGAAGGGCCAGATCCAAAAAGTATTTGGTTGGCTGCTTTCTTGGCTAGTGAATCAGCAAGACGGTTACCTTTCGATGTAGCGTGACCTTTAATCCATCTTAAGGTGACCACATTGTTGATGGATACTTCGGCCAAAGCTTCGTGACATTCTAGTACTAACCCTGAATAAATTCGTGGTCTTTTCAGGGTGAGTAGTGCTTGTCTGCTATCTGTATAGATGAGCATGTTCCTGCCAGTGATATTCTTTCTGGTTATTTCTTTTGCTGCTATGAGAATCCCCGTTAGCTCTGTCTGAACTACACTGGCACTATTGCTCACAGCCCATTCTATGTTTTGGTTTAAGAATCTGGAGTATATTCCACATCCTGAGCCTTGTTTTGTTTTAGAACCGTCTGTGTAGATATGAATCGTACCTGCCACTTCCGGCTCTTCTATTTATTTTATTATAACTTTATATGGCTTATGAAAGATATATTAAGATGGAGTCCATGTTCGCTTGAAGCAATGGGAGCGTATCGAGCGCCTCCTGCCAAAAGTGACGTCTCGCCTCACCAAATCCTACATGAGGTTCTATTCCGACCGTGCGTGTCATTGTCATCATAGCAACCTCCTTGAAGTAAATATCAAGGGGAGTGAGACTAAGAATAACTTCCATGGCTCTAGTCGGTGTTGTTTTCATGGCTCCTGTTACGTTGAGACATGCTGTTCTTTGAATTTGTTCTAGTTTACGGATAGCTGTTAATTTTTGGGTTTTTGGTACCCTGACAACTGCACCGTATGTTAGCATAGGTCTTATGTGACGACTCTGGGGGAGAAACCCCAGGTGCGCCCCACGGTTCGGCGGCATTGTTCATAAGCAATGTATGCTCTTTTAACTCTGTTTTCTAAATGCGAGTTCCATGTTAACTTGCTGTCAAAGGTGAGACCTAGGTACTTCACCTCTGTTGCAAAGTTTAGTTTTATGTTTAGGAGTTCTGGAGGTTTTAATTCCATTTTCATCCTTTTCCTTGTGAAAAGGACCATTTCTGCCTTCCTAGGATTGATAGACAGTAAATGGTCCTTGCACCACTGTTCTATAATTTTTAAAGCTACTTGCATTCTTTCGCAGAGTATGTTCTCAAAATTCCCTGTTTGCAGAATGACCAGGTCATCTGCATATGCTATTGTGTAGTGACTGTCATTATTGAGGCGGCTGACGAGGGTGTCGACGACCATATTCCACAGTAGAGGTGATAGCACCCCTCCCTGTGGACATCCCCTCGCAACCACGCCTCTTATATTCACATCTTCTACACTTATGTTTACTGCTCGCTTTGAGAGCGTGTTATGTATCCTCCCACTAACCATTCTCTCTGCTCCTAAGGGATTGTTTTCTAGCCCATTAAAATGGGCCCAACTGGACCTCAAAATAGAACCTACCTAAAAAAATTCGTTTTTGTGATTTGTGATGTATGAAGGATTTATGAGGGTTTTTGAGTATGTATGAAGAATTTATGAGGATTTCTGAGGACGTTTAAAGATTTATGTGTATAGTGAACAGGTTATGTCGTGGTACCTAAGTAAGATTTTAAAGCTTCGCCAAATAGGTCTTACTTTTCGATTTTTGTTATCCAGGCTTCCTGCGGCAGACTCCGAAGGGTGTGGACTGAATTTTAAGGGCTGGTATTTTAATGTGCCGGGTAGGTTGTGCGGGTCGGTACCGAACTACAATTTTAACACAAGTATGTGTACTTTGCGGTAGTCGAAGCGATACTAGTTCGGTTCAAAGTTCAAACGACAAATCGTTCTTAAGCGGTGGCCTGTAACCACTTAACTTCGGCAGTACGTTTTATACTGGATGATAATTACTATATTTTTAAATTTACTAAATAAGGATGTAGGTGTACAAAATTTAAGTTAGTGGTTTGCCCCTCGTTCTTAGCTAAAGCTCACTTTCTGAAAGTTAAAATGCGGAAAAACTGATTTTTGGTAACTTCGGGGCCCTCTAACTTTTTAGGAACGAACTACAGAGAGTTCGGCCAAATTGTGAGCCAAATAATTGTGAGCTATACATTATTTGTTATCACACTTTGTCTTCCGACCCATAACAGAAATCGAGATAAATAAATTCCAATATTTTTAAGATGGCGGAGTTTCTATTTGCGATTCAAATTTTGGGGTGCTTGTCATTTGTCACCAATAGGTAGGTTATTTGTTTATTAACATTGTGTTTGTTTTGGGAGGCCTTTTGTACTTGTGATTTTTAAACTGTTTTTGATATTATCATTATAATAGTGTATTTGAGTTTCATTTAGTGTTAATTTAAGTTTAGATTCTGTGCTTTCGTCATAAATATATCATGTGTATAAGACTAATTTGTCGGAAATCTTTACCTATCTGGGTGCTACACAAACATCTGGAAATATTTGTTAACTAAACGCAAGACATCTATTTGGTTTAAAGAAAATTTCAGATACCTAATGTTTATTATATATAAACTTAATTAAGAATCTAGGTATCCTTATTCTTATATTCTGAAGTGAACTTTGTGGCACTTTGTAAACATGTAAACCAAAATAAAATTGTCACAATGCAGAATGCAGTGTGATTCTAGACATAAAATCTAGCAAGTTTGGCATATTTCATTTTTAATATAAAGAAATAAGCAAATTTAATGCTCACAAATAAGAAAAAAATCAAATTGATAAAAATGTATCTATACACAGCGAACAATGTTGCCAGCTGGTGAACTGATAAATGAAAAAAGATAAATGAACTGTAATTTAAATAAAAATTCAATGATTTAATCTGTTTTATAAAAATCCTTAAATCAATATTATTACATATTGGTAGACACAAATTTCACTACTTAAAAAAGTATTTCCACTGCTAGAAGATGTAAAAATCCGCGGAAGTAGCGGAATTCCGCTACTAATGGCAAACATTGGAAAAAATCGTACCTTTTACAAATATCCCCCGGAGGGCGTATCACTTAGCTTGAATCACGGATTGCCGTTGGGATACCATTTTATGGTTTAGATCCTCAGAAACAATCCCCAATATTTTCGATCTCAAATAATTTGATTATACTATACACCCTAGAATATCGTTGATTAGCTAATTTGATAATATACTGGTTGTATCATGTGTCTAGGGTTATATTAGGCAATAAATTAAGGTAAATGCCGGGGCTATGACAAAGTGTCCATTTGATAAATATGTTTCCTTTGCACTTATGTGCAGAGAGGTACCTATTAACCAGGTCACTGACTGTGAAAGGTGACCGTTAAGCGGCGTGAGGCAGGACACTGTTTGGTTAAGTGACCATGGGTATCAGTTGAATGAATGTGAAGGAGTGAGGAAAATAAACTGTTCCATAATGAGCACATAGGGCTGCAGTGCAACCACGCCTGAAACGCAGAAGGAAAGGGAGGCTGAAATCCAAGCCTCCTTTGAGGAAGTTTGGGCCCCTAAGGGGGAAAGCAGAGATTCCTGAAAGAGCAAAAAAAATGCGTATTAAATGATGCCGTGAAAAAGTTACATCAAGAGATTTGGTAGGCTAGCCATGGTAGTGTCACAATATAAAGAATATTTTGGCTTTATTCCAAATTTTAGAAGATCAGCTATTGATCTACGTAGGTCGAGATACTCGACTTTGATAATATATACCTAATAATTTTTTTTTACATAGTTGCGATAATATTTCATAATTTAAACTAGTAACAGTATTTTTGGAATAAAATTATTAAACCAACCTTCCAATCAACTCTGCTTATTTTAGCAGTCAAATCTCTTTTCTTTATTATTCGTCTAAATTCTTTGGAGGACTCTTGACTCCACGGTGCACCCTTTACAGGTGGGCAGATATTAGCTAACCTGCATCTGATAGTCTGTGCAGGCAATTGGGCAAACTGTTCATGAAGGAAATAGAGTTGAGATTTAACTTTTGCCATTGTACCGTAATCAATAAAAAACACCTGAAAAATAGTAATAAGAAAAATAATCCAATAATATAAATCAGAGAAACATACCCTAGTTGAATCATCAGTTAGAGATGTAGAATCTATAATAAGAGCTCTATGGTACTCTCCAATAATGATCGCAACACAATACATTCCCTCTCTTATGAGATCTTGAGGCATCTTATATTCATTTTCGTTTTCTTTGTAAAATACTCTGGAAATAAAAAATAATAAAATTTGTAAAACATATTTAAAATCAGTTTTAATTACTGTATGTCATCCATTAGTTTATCTAGCTTTCCATCGTCTTTATACACCCAAAACTTAGATACATCAAATATTTCTCCAACCACTATGTCTATAGTGTCATTTTCCTTTGTATCATCAGGTACAAATGTTCTAGGAATCTCATTCCCAGGTTTAAACACATTAGGCGGGAGAAATGATTCCATATCAGACCACTAAAAATATTTTAAAAATATAATCACATATCTCAACAGTTTTTTTTAGTCTACTTACATTTAAACTAGGTAGCGCGTCAACAGTTTCTTGTAACAAGTTGCTTTTACTACTGAAACTTGCTGCGGTGAAATATTTTTCGGCACTAGCCGGAATGGGTTTGCTTCTATCAAACAATTTGAAATCCTCATTTGACGGTCTTACATAGTGAAAAGTCGATTTTAGATACATACAGAGGTCAATTAGGTTCCGGAAACCTAGATCTTGATATTTCAGTTCTCTTTTGAACATTTTTCTAAAATAAAAATGCTATGTAGATGAAATTAAACTTACATTTTTGGTTTTATTTAAAAACTGTACATACGTCAACAAAACTGACTGACAACCAATTAACAGGTAAAGTGCCATGACAAACGAACAGGGACTCACAGTACTCACATATAAAAATGATATAATACGGCCCGCGTGAGTCCGACGTCGAATCACATGCAAGTTCGTCAGAAAATGTTGTGTAACTCCATGTCGGCTTCTCGAACAGATGGTCTACAACTCTGTGACCTGTGCTTCTGAGAGGCCAACCCGGACTCACATGGCTTATAATATTCATAACTAATAGGTTCGCTATTTTATAGGAAAAAGTGATCGGCCCTTGGGGACGTTAAAATCTTAACTATTGTGGCACTTAAACTGTTAAAAAGCGACATAGATATACAAAATAACGTATTTATAGTTGTGGAAATACCCCATGTGACAAATATATTTTCCTTACTCTTAAGTTGTAGGAGGTTTTCTCGCCAGAGAAATTATTCATGACGCCAGCTAGACGGTCTATATTTTTCTATAATTTTCTAAGTTGTCTGTCGGAAAAAATGTACTTTATGTTTTAAATTTTATACCGTTTTTCCCAGTAAAAATTGCGCCTTCAGTGGACAATAAAATCTTATCAGTTCACAATAAAATTCAGTGAAAATGATGCATTTATACGATACACAAAGTCGAAGTTTTTTTCCCAACACAACAAAAAATAGTATGATAAGCTTTATTTCGATGTGATTTAAAAAATAGTACTGTCAAGAAAGCTCGCAGTTTACAGTGAAATTGTTATAGTCCGGTCATTCTGTCCAATTTCGATTGAAAAATGTATTGCATAAAACGTAAATTTAAAGAAACTAAAGATCAGCTAGTAGTTTGTGATAAATATATGTGCAAACTGTATCAATCTTGTAGTAAACTGACAACAACAGAATATAGGGCCATAACAATGAAGCAAGACAGAATGGTAATATGTCTTTGTTCTACTTGCAGACCAACCATCTTTTTAAATCCTAGTGATGACACAACATAAGAAATAAAGGTAATGAAGGATAACATTGGCACATTAACTAAGAGCCTCACTGCACTTTCAACAAATCTTGTCACAGTTCTATCTAATGTTAAAGAAGGGACCACCAATAATATTGAAAAAAAATTGTCTCTCTAAACAAGAAATTGAAAAACTAAACAAAGAAATAAAAAATTAATTGAACCAGATTAAAAGTGAGGTCAACTCTTCGAGAAAGTAATCTAGATATGGTTAACTTCTTACTCTTACTCCACCTTAAAATATAATGCCGCTGTCAAGTATAACTTAACTCTGTTAATCAGCTCCCCTATTCAACTTACTGCTATAATTAACAATAACATTAGGCCTTCTAACCACACTTATAAGAATAGGCAAAATGATATTCTCCCAATTTCTCCTATGATTCAATCTACCGATAAAAAACGTAGAGGCTCAAAATACATTTCTACAACCGACTAGTCCAAATCAACAAAGTGAGAAATATTCTTACAAGAAAAAAAAAAAGAAATAATCAATATGGTACCTGTAACACAAATTCAGATGGTGATGCTGATGATTTGAAGGTACTGAGTCTACGAAGGAAAAATGTGATTGTTCATCTCACGTGTCAAAAAGGAAGTAACAAGTGATAAGATCGTAAAGCAAAGATATATACGTTAAAACTTTAGACATTCAAACTAATTAAATTAGCAGCAGCAACAGCTATATAGTAGAAGTTGACCCTAGTATACATCGTACAGTAAATATGTTTTTGGCAGAAAGGTGTTTGACTTCCGAAAAGGTCGCCGCTTCCTGGACAATCCCCAATACAAAACAAAGTATGTAGCAGGGGTCAAGTGAAGCATAAGAAGCATAAACGACACATCTTCCTCAACGAATGAAAAATTTGATAATAAAAACGCTAGTAATGCTCAAATAATCACTCAGACTCGGGCAACGCAGAATAATGGACAGGCTCACAATTTTTTTTTTCCTCATAAAAGTAAGTAAGTCTAATACACCAAAAATTGTCAAGTATTGACAATAAACTTCTAAAAATTCAACAATTCCTAAAATAATCGAGCCCGGATGTCTTTTTAGTTACTGAACAGTGGCGGCTCGTGGTAATTTAAAATAAGGCTTCAATTTTTTTCAATAATTTAAGCATTTGTAAAACTTTGTACAAGTGCCAATATCCCTCAAAACTTCATTGGCATCATCCGTTTTAATACAATTAAATTCCGAATTTTTTATAATATTCCTGAATCATGAAAAGGTTGCTTGATACCATTACTTGGATGATCCATTACTAGAAATGGTACAAGCGCAGAAAGTACCGTTTTTATTTCATCTGAAATTTTCGAAGAACTTGTCAATTCAAAAAAGCAAAAATTGTTATTTTGGTTAATTTTTTGAGAGGACAAACCTAAGAGCTGCCAGTGAATCCTGAAATATACTTTTTATACTTCGCACAAACATTTGCTCTTTTAGTGAAGCAATACTTGATTAAATTACGTGGCTATACAAAATAAGACACTATACCCACCCTGGGCATTGTAAAGTCAAGATGAAAATAATGGATTTTTCAAATGTCGCTCGGTAGAACTGTTTAAAACTTTACACTACACCACACTATAAATAAAAGCAATTGTATTAAGTAAATTCAAATACGCACTGCAAACCCCGAACAAAATACAAAAATCAGTTATTTTAGATTAATCGGATATTTTCGATTTTTTAGAGATATTATATTCGATTTTGATTAATCGATTACAATATTATACTGTTTTCAAACACTGCAACTATTAACTAACTTGCTGAACTCTAGTGGTAAATAAATAATCGATTCATAAAAGTAATCGATTATTGGAAAATTAATCGAAAAAATCGATTATTCGAAAAGAATCGAAATGAATCGAAATTAATCGAAAAGAATCGAAAGGAATCGAAAAAATCGATTAATCTAAAAGAATCAATTAATCTAAAAGAATCAATTAATCGAAAATAGTCGATAAATCATAAAGAATCGATAATTTTTAAGTAATCTACTAGTCGAAAATAACTGATATTTTATTTTGATGATTGCCCGGCCCTAACGTTTTTAGTAATCCATTTTGGCAACAAAATTATTTAAATAGGAAGTTTTATTTGAGTAATCTTCTTAAATCTACCAAAAGAAAATTGTCTACTAAAATTAGCCAAAATAGCTGAAACACCTACCAAAAAAATAGAAATCTACCAAATGTGGCAACGTTGAATGAAAGATTTCCTCCTAGTCAGAGTGACCTTGACCAAGCACAATAACTAAACGTTGGACCAAGCGAAATTAACTGTCGTGACGTAATCTACGTGCAATGCACAAAATGATGCTAAAAATAGCATGGATTCAAGCAGGCCCACTGCTGTTTCACGGATCTATTAACCTATCTTTTTAACATTCATTGTCAGACATCTCTCGCGTTCACTAGACATATTGAACAGACAGACTCGATCGGCTTGAGCGCAGAGGGGTACCAAAAAAAGTACGTACGAAAATAATAAATATATTAAAGTAAATTTATAATATTAAGTTATTTATATGTGATTTTAAAATAATGTGTTTTTATGAAATTTAACTGGGTGTTCACTGCACAAATGAACCAATGGAGAAACCGCCCCCTTTTACTGAACATTGGTAATTTTCATCTCAATTAACACATTTCACTTTTGATCATTTTGTCTCATGTTCCTCCTTTTGCCAAAACCAATCTTCGGATAAAGAAAACTGGACAAATGTCAAGGCAAAATCTTGTCCGAATTTATTTTTCAATGACTTTTTTGCAACATTTACACATTATTTCAATATTTGTTTCTCACTGAAATGTTATCCTTCACCAAAACACAAACACTCTCATTATCATCTAGGGAGTTCCCCAGAAATATTTTAACTATTCTAGAAGATCTAAAAAACATTTATCCTCAATTAAAAGACTCATATGCTGCAGTGAACAAGAATTATAAAATTCTCTTAAGCAACTCAATGAAATACCAACATGATGCGCTGATTTCATCTGCGGAAAATAAAACAAACAAAAATGTGGGAAAATAATTAATAAAACAAGTGGCAAACGCGTATGACAGAGATGAAATAAAAGTGAAAGAGAATGACAATATTTTAAACCCTGCTTCCACTGCAAAAAAAATGTAATGATTACTTTTCATCCGTGGGTAATAATTTATCACAAAACTTCAACAGACAAAATTAATACAGATTATACGATTCAAAAAAAAATAACCATTTTAAAAGATTCTCAGATGTTCTAGATGCCTTTCGTCTATGAGTCGTCACATGTGAATTGGATGTTTCCAGTAACTTATTGCAGCGGACAACGTCTATATCGCCAGACTAGCTTGTGACATCGGATACAGGTCCAGACTGGTTTGAAACGGCTCGCACGACAATACACTCTTGTTTCTACCAAATAAACCTTAGTTGGCTAAGTATTGATGTTTTGCAATAAACAACATAAAATTTAGAAATATTTAATGAAGAGCATCCGAGAATCGAAATTAGTACGCTTCTATCAAGGAATACTGTTCAATATCCGCGACAAAAATAAATAATTCCAACTCGGAAAGGTTTGTTATATCTTTAAATTTTGATAATAATCCGCGATGAAATACCTATTTGTAGTTTTATTTAAAACATATCAAACCTGTAATTTTATGACATTAAAGTGATTCTCCTATATTTGATTCCAAAAATGTATACCTGATTTGTAGAGTGAATCGTTTGGAAGTTACAGATAATTTGATATGTTATAATTTTAGGAGTGGCCTCAATATACTCGAATTTTAATAAAGATTTGTCATAAATCATTAACAAAGGAACCTAAGGATAAGTCATTTTTAACTATTTTTGATATACAAAATTGGGATCGGCAGGCGTGTCTTTTGCACTAACTAAAATGGCGGAAAAACAGATCCGGATTTAC